TTGAGCCATACCAATCATACCATAAGCAACGCTGATAAGCCGCTCATTAACAAGCTTGTCATGTGAAGGATCCCTTGGTTTGCGTTTCATGATATCACTTTCAGCTTTTTCATAAGCTAATGAAATAGCTGGAATTAAATCAGTCCCAAGGTCAATGCAAAGTATAGTGACTGTTCCCAATGGTAAGGGAATACCAAACAAAATATACATTAGGAAAGGTGTAATTTCAGGAATATTACTTGTTAAAGTATAGACAATAGATTTTTTAAGGTTGTCAAAAATAAGGCGACCTTCTTCAACACCAGTAACAATAGAAGCAAAATTATCATCTAGTAATATCATATCAGCAGCTTGTTTAGAAACATCTGATCCAGCAATTCCCATAGCAACACCTTAAAAAAAAAGTAATGTTTTTTATAATAAAAAGAAAAAGAAAAAAAAAAAAACCTTAAAATTTCGTATCCTAAAGCACCGAAGCATTGTATACCTATGTCAGCTTTTTTTAATGCAGGTGAATCATTAACACCATCACCAGTTACTGCAACAATAGAACCTACTCTCTGACATCCTTCAACAATAATTAATTTTTGCTGTGGTGATGTTCGTGCAAATACGATTTCAGTATGAGTTCTTAAAATTTCATCCAAGTCATTTTGTGATATATCTTTAAGTTTAGCTTTAAAAAGAAATCTTTATTTTAAATATTCCCTATATTCAAAACTAAAAAAAATTGAAACATAAAAAAACAGCATATAAATACAACTTTTAAATATATGAAAACATACATCCATGAATAACACAAGCTTTAGCATCCCCCTTTTTTACGTCTTCTACATTTATATTCAATCGTTGCGCTATATCTTCTACACATTCGTTACCTTCTGAAATAATTCCAACACCTTTTGCAATTGCTTTAGCTGTAATTGGATGATCACCAGTTACCATGATGACTTTTATACCTGTTAACAATAAATAAACTGTTGATGAAATTTAAAGTTAAATAAATTTGAATTCACATATGGAATTTAAAAAAGAGTAGAAATTATTATTGCAAAAAAGGAAAAAAAAAACTATTTATAAAAAATTGAATTAATGAGATTGAAATTCACAATAAAACAACAAGTTCAAAAACAAATCAACAAATTTATTTGATTTTTCATGTAAAAATGACATTTTTTACATTATTAATTTTAACATCATATTATTAACATAGAAATATTGATTAGAAGAAAAACATCAAACATGGAAGGTCAAATCATAGATGGAAAACAGTTATCAAACATGGAAGCTCAAATTTTAGATAAAAAAGAATTTCGTTTGTTAATAAAGCAAAGCTTTTTAGCAACAAAAAAAAAAAAAAAAAAAAAAAAAGAAAAGAAAGAAAAGAAAACACAGTTAAAAACAAGCCTTGGCTTGTACCATCAGGGGCTATTCTAGACCTATTCTAGATTTTTTTGACAGCGTGGACCATATTTGGGCGCCAATTTAGGCGCCCTCCAAATTAAAAATTGAGGTCCTTTCTTTTTTTACAGTAAATATTGTTTTTTTTGGCGAAAAAATGCCAATATTTGGCAAAACTTGCGCTAAAGTTCTCCAGGACCGGGGGTACAGCTGCCCTAATTCTTTTCCTAGAATAGCCCTAGACAATTATTCAGACTCTGCACCAGGAAAATTAACTGTTGAGAAGTTGTTTGCTTAGTTTAAACAAGGCAAAATGAAAACCAAGGATGATGCACTTTGTGAACACCCAAAAGAGGCTATTACTGACAAAATAATAAAATATGTCCACAAAATAAATTTGGATCACCATAAAATGAAATTGATCGAGATATCTGAGATTCTAAAGATATCAACATATCAAAGAAGGTGTTGGACATATGGTGAGTATTAAGCCATGCAAAATTAAAAACAACAAAAAATTGATAATACCGAGCAGTATTTGAAGCTACTCCATCTTGATAAACTTGAATTTATGCGTCAATATGTAATATGGCTCAACTATTTCACTCTGGAGTCCAATTGACAGTCCAAATGAAAAAACTCAAAAGTAAATAAAGTCACAACAGCCTACTGGCAAGGTTATGGTTGTATTTGCAACAGTATTTTGGCATGTGAATATTCATAGACTATTTTGAAAAAAGAAAAACCATTGACAGCAACTATTATAAAGCTTTATTGGAGTGTTTTTGAAGAAGAAGAATCTGCTGTTTCATCAATGTACAATGTCAAAAATCAATGAAAACAATGAAAAAATTGTGTGAATTAGGCTTCAAATATGCTCACAGGAAATAGTTTAGCGCTGATAGAGGTAATCACTAAAACTGAGATCTATTTTGAGACTAAAGTCAAATGATACTATTAAAATGGTATCAAAAAAAATGCCATTTTGTGAAAATAACATTATTTAAAATTTACATATAAAATAATAGCTATTCACTTTATTTTGTTTAATAACAAGTTTTTGCTTTATATGGTAAAATAAATCGCCTATGTTATATCAAATATATTCTATTATTTTTCTATCTGAGTAAACAAATTTAAATACAAAAAAATAGAAGATATGCATTTCTTTAAAGTTGATATTGTATAAACCAATAAAACCCAAGTTTCAAAGAATACTTTGTTGTTTAAAATTATATGAACAATCAAGGAAATAATAATGAATCCTTAAAACTTACTTTTGTCTTTTGTATAAAAAGTAAACTTTTTATTTTCTTATTGACTTATTAAATCTTATATTTTTTAATTGTAAAACAAAAAATGTTACATACTGCATCCAAAATATAATCAAAAAAAATTAAAAAATTTAATAAAAAAGTTCTAACTTTTTTGAAGTTTTTTATTTTGTGTCTCAAATGAAGCCATAAAAAATAAATTAAAAATATTTTTCGAAAATAAAAATTATTAAAAATTGATTGATGAATTTTTTTTTTCATTTTTTATGCAGTATAATCATTTTAGAAAAAGAACAATTTTTATAAAATGATTTTTACTTTTGAGTTTTTTGTATAGTTTTAGACTCAACATGACACTAAATAGACACCAGCGATTTAAATTTTTTTTTTTGAAAAATCAATTACTTCAAGCGGGAGTACATTTATTAGAAAATAAAATTATAAAGTCCAAAATTTGAAAGTTTCCAATTCTATCTTATTTTATTTTAATTTTTTTTTTTACATATAATTCATTATGAAACATAAACAAGTGTTGGGCTACATTTTCACGTATATTTTCATATATAATGAAACAAATAATGAAACATAAATAATTTATTTTTAAATTTTTTTTTTAACATATTTGGATCCTGTAAAATTGTGTATTTTTACCTAAAAGCCATATAGTTATATGAACTTATGTAAATAAAACATGTATACAAAAAAACATGGTTTTAAATGTTCAATTTATTTAAGTTTAGATGTTTAATAAAAAAAAACTTCAGATATTTTTGTTTTTAAGTTGGAAAAAAAACGTTCATCATTTTAGCCTAAAAACTTAAACTTAATGCAGAAAAAATAAATGTGCCGCTGGAAAGTTTTAGTTTTGTTTATGTTTACTTATTTTTAATGACGCATTTCTATTTAATTTTACAAAAAAATGGCCTAAATAAAGCGGTTTATTTATGTTGATTTTTAAATAAAATAGCTACAAATTATTGATAATTATTTTTTTTTAATATAACTCACATTTACTTAAAAACAGTCTAACTTGAAGCAACTTAATACCATAAAATTGCTGGTACCTACCGCTGAATGTTCAAAAGTCTCAGCGCACCCCTAAATATATTTTTTTGTTTACAAACTTTTTAAATCTAGAGTTACTTTAACAACACCAAAAAAAATAATTAGCAAGAAGATAAATTTGTTTAATAAAAACTGACCAGCACTTCGACATTTGCTAACAGCATCAGGGACAGCAGCTCGAGGAGGATCAATCATACTTAACAAACCAACAAAACATAGCCCTTCTAATGGAAAATTCTGTTCCTCATCAGTCTTAAACAAAAATCCTTTAGGATATTGATCAACAGGTAAGTAATAATGACAAAAACCTAAAACTCTTTCACCAAGACCACCTATAAATAAAAAATTTGGATAAAGTTCAAGACACATTAAAAACAATTAAGATAAACTGGAACATAATAAATTAAAAAATATTATATAAAAAAATAGCAAGACTAACAAATAAATAATAAATACTTCTTTAGCAAGACTCTAACAAATATGTAATAAATATTTGGAAACCTAGTTCTTCATATGCATGATTATAAGACCGTTTAATTTCTAAATCTATGGGATACTCATTTCCATTTATAAGAATTGTTGAACATCTGTCCAATATTCTTTCAGGTGCACCTTTCATTACTAGAAGATATCGTTTATCATCAGCCAACTCATGTACAGAAGCTTGAAATTTATCAGTTGAGTTGAAAGGAATTTCTGCTAATAATTTATTTTTGGCTCTTTTATCCATGACATTACCAACAGAACTTTCTATAAATTTTAGAATAGCTATTTCTGAGGCATCACCAATACAGTCTCTTCTAAAAAGAGAAAAGAAAATAGAAACAATAAAAATGCATTAAATATATTTTGAATTTGCTAAATAATTTAAGCAAAGTTCATTTACACCAAAATTGCAAAAAAATGAACATGATTTTACTTTAATGTGGAATGTCAATCAAATAATGGTCTTGTATAAATAATAATTCTATGACAATACTTACTCAATCAAATAATGGTCTTGTATAAATAATAATTCTATGACAATACTTACTCAATCAAATAATGGTCTTGTATAAATAATAATTCTATGACAATACTTACTCAATCAAATAATGGTCTTGTATAAATAATAATTCTATGACAATACTTACTTAATCAAATGGTTCAGAATATTGATGAAAACATTGTATCAAACAAGAGAAAAATTTTAGCACATGATAAAATCACTAAATTTATCTATTTAGCTAAAAACTTTTTTGGTTTAAACTCTATAGATATTTAAAAAAGAAAAAAAAATAATCTAAAAAAAAAAATGCAAAATGGTTGGTTGTTGCTATATTTATTGAAATACAGCAACAACCAACTTTACTTTAAAAAACTTTTCTTTAAATTAAACACAAGGAGAGTGTGTTACAGTTTGTCAACCAATATTTGTCTACAATAAACATCTGAAGAGTATCCTACCAAGGGCAGCATCGTTTTGAAGGCAATGCTTGCAATAAGATGCTTAAAAACATAGACAGCTTTGAGATGTTTTTCAGGAGTCCAGTCTTGGAGATCCCTTATCCAAATAAGTTAAGGTAGTTAGAGATTTTGAAAAAGTAGTCCATGGCTGCAGTCTTCGGTATGATAAATAAATTTTAAGTTTGAAAAAAGATTAAATTAATATTATTTAATTAAAAAAAGATTAAATTAATATTATTTAATTAAAAAAAGATTAAATTAATATTATTTAATTATAATAAAAGTAATTAAATACTTATTATTACAACAATACAACAGTTAATGCAAGTTTAAACTTGCATAAACTATGACGATTGTTCATTAAATAGACTAAACTTATTTTGTGCATTTTATATTCTGTACACTTAAGTTACTGGACCAAACAAGCTCTGGAATCCATTCACCAGGATTTCATTCAGTTTAGGCAAATGAGAAAAGTTAAAGAACACAGTCCAAACTATATTGAAGCGCTAAAAAACGCAGTTGTTGCTTACAACTACAAACACTTTTAAAGTAGCTTTCAATTTGCATGTAGCTCATAAAAAGTATAATATTAATCTCTTATGAACAATTGTTCAAAATAAATTCTTAATACATGATATGATTATATATGACAAGCAAAATATAAATAATAATTTTTTTTTACGGCCATAAAGTAGTTGTAGCGAACCCTATTGGACCCCTAATACCCCACCCCTAGTGTATGGTTCCCTAATAGAATTTTTCAGTATTTTTTTTGTGTTATATTAAACTAGATCATTGTTTGCTTTCTATAAAATGATTGATTTTATCACTTGACAGACAATCATTAAAAAGAATGTACTTCTAAAATAAGCTAACTAATACATAAAATATATTTCTCATATTTAACCATGCTTAGGTTTAACCTCAAGAGCTACTATTCTTATATCTTGTTCAATAAGCAAATTTTACTTTTTTACAGTAATTATCTATTATTTATTTTATTGTTTTTACAGTAATTATCTATAAGGCTTTTATTCTTTTTATTTTATTTTACTATAAATAAAATTCTTTATTAACATTAAAAATATTTACAAAGCGCACATTAAAACTGTTTAAATAACACAAGTGTTAATTACAAATTTTAATAACACAAGCATATATCAACAATTTTGCAAAAAAAAAAAAAAAAAATTAAACTTTACATAAAACAATAGTTAAATTTTTTACAGGTAAAAAAATTAACTATTGCTTAGTTTTTTTCTTGCAATAGTTAAAGTTTTTAGTTTATTACTTGCTCGAAACAGTTAAGATATTAATTAAGAACCATATATCATTTTGGAAATTTTGAGAATTTCAAAACTTGCATTGAAAAAAGACTTTGTAATAAGAACTAAGAACATTTTGCACTGATCAACAGTTAAATTATTCAGAAATGCTTTTAGCTGAGCAGTATTTATTTAGAATAGTTGAAAATGAAACATTGGCTGCTAATGTTATATTTATAAAATGACAAATTTTAAAGTATGTAATGGAATATTTAGCAAAGATAGTTGCAGCTATGTTTAGAAGTCTAATGTTGATTGTTGATCCAATTGTGTAATAAAAAGCATATGCACCTAGAATTTTAGAATTGTTTTGATATTATTATCTACAAGTAACATCTGCTGAGCAAGGAAATAATAATCTGTTGAGCAAGCAAATAATAACATTTCATTTCAAAAGTCTAAAAAATGAAATGATTTAACCAATATAACAACATCAAAGCTTTTATTTATTGCTTACAATTTTAAAATGCATAATAGATTGGTTAAATGTAATTCTAAAAAGAAGAAATATCTGTGTTTAAAAAAAGGAAAATAATGATAAACAAATAAAACAAATCATAGGTGCTTATCACTAAATGATGATAATCATTATGATGATCCAGTATTTTTTTTTAATTCTGATTAACTTCCATCAAGACTGCAAGTAACAACTATTAAGTTGTGAGTTACTAGAAAAAAAGAATAGAGTTATAGAGCAAGGAAACAGTTGACAAAAGACTTAAAAAGTTGAAGGTTGCATGAATCAAAAAAACATGAAGATGGGATGGAGTTTCAAAGGGTTGATGCGGAGAAAAAAACTAGACAAATAAAAGTTTTTGTAGCATGCAGGGACAGTAAATAAACTTTGATAAATAAGAGTCAAGCAGAAATTTTAATTGATGGAAGAGATGATAACTCCTTTGAGCAGCAATCATGATAGTATTTGTAGAAAAGAGAAAGAGATGCAACTTTGACAATGGGAAAGAGGCTCAAGCTTACCAGATAGACAGGGTTCAACTACATTTACAATGCGTTTTTGGACCTTTGAAGAATTAGCCCAAATATGACAACAGTATTCCATACAGGGATGAATAAAAGATTTGTAGAAGTAGGAAACGGAATGAGGAGAGAGAAAATGGCAAGTACGATAAAGAAAAGCGATCTCAGCAGATGCTAATTTAGCAATAGATTGTATATATGGTTTCCATGAAAGGTCACTTTAATTAATCAAGTTTAATAATTAGATCAGTTTAATGTCAATAACAACCTAGAAATGATTAAAAAAAATCAACACTAACAAATTACCTAAGAATAGAAATATTATCCTGATTGGGTTTAAACTCAGCATGATTACATAATGCTCCAATCTGTGCAAGAGCCATCCATGTAGACGATTCTTTTTCATGTGCCACACCAGATTGATCTTCTGTTGTGTCAGCTTCAACAATCATTTTATCAAACCACATGTGAGCAACAGTCATACGATTTTGAGTCAATGTACCAGTTTTATCAGAACAAATAACAGAGGTGCTTCCCAGTGTTTCAACAGCCTCCAAATGCTTTACAAGGCAATTTTTTTTAGCCATTTTTTTAGCAGTTAACGTTAAACATACCTAAGAGTGATAAAAACATGTAAAACTATTTAAATATGAACTTTAACTAATTAAAAATTAATTTAATGATTACAGTAACAGTCGCAAGCAAACCCTCTGGAACATTTGCAACAATAATTCCAATCAAGAAAACAACAGCCTCTAACCAATGATAACCCATTGCAAGCGATATGATAAGGAAAGATATGCCAATAAAAACCGCAACACCAGTGATAATATGAATAAAATGCTCTATTTCTATAGCTATCGGAGTTTGACCACTTTCTAATCCAGATGCAAGAATAGCAATTCGTCCCATAACAGTTTTATCACCAGTTCTAACAACTACCCCAGTGGCAGTACCTTCAACAGCATTAGTTGAAAAAAAAGCAAGATTCTTTGTTTCAATAGGGTTGTCAGACGAGCACTCAGTCCCCCGAGATTGAGGTTCTGACTCTCCAGTAAGAGATGAATTATCAACCTATGAACCATTTAATAATTTATTTTCACATAATATTTAATGAACCTTACAGAAAAATCATTTAAAAAGGCTATAAAAATCATGCAATGTAAGTTATACTTTTTTTTTTAATATAATATTTTTTGTAAGTGTAAAATTGTTTTACAAGAAAATCATAAAAAGTTTACTTTTTAGTCTTAGTAAGTATAGAGGGTAATAGTATACTATTTTAACAATAACTGATATGAAATAGGTATTGTAACCCTGAGAACTGACTGATACATACATACACACATACATACATACATACATACATACATACATACATACATACATACATACATACATACATACATGTATATTTGTATATCTAAAAAAAAACACACACATTTGTATATAAACAATACACACACACATATATATATATAAATTTTATCAATTTATAAACATAAAAATTTGTTTGCTTACCTTTAAACCACGGCAATCAATAATTCTAATATCAGCAGGAATTCTGTCACCAAACTTCACAAAAGTGATGTCACCAACTACACAATCAACAGCATTAATAGTAACTTTTTTACCATCACGTAACACAACAGCTTCTTGTGGAATCATTTTTTTAAAACTATCCATAATCCTAGAGCTTTTTGCCTCCTAAACACAGTTTATTTATAAATTTTTTTATGTTAAAATTTTACTAACAAAATTTTTTATATTAAAAAAAAAACAAAGTAGGGAATAGTAAAAAAGTTTATGGTCATAAACGAGATTAAATTTTATGGTCATAAACGAGATTAAAATTTGTTTAACTAAACAAAGAGGAGTAACCCTCTTAGTTTAAGTGTAATAAAATATCATAAAAGCCAAAACAACAAAAATTCAAACAATGAAATTTTTTTATGGCATAAATCCTTTACTGTCATTACTTATCGAAATCATAATAATAAACAAAATTTAACTATAAAAATTAAAATTTGAAAGCTTTAAGACAATTACAAATTTTAGTAGATACACAGCAACAGACATGTGAAATATAATTTTAATCAACTTTCAGACAAATTGCATCAAATTGCAGAAGGAAAAACACAAAAATGTGGAGATGTAGATATTAAATAAGGATAAAATAAATTTGGAAAAAATCATAAACAAGGATAAAATATTTGAATAAATTTGGAAAGAATCATATGGCAACCAATATTGAATTGAGTGAGTAAAGCATACATCAAAGTGAGTTAAACTTTGTCAGATATTTACATAAATGAATGCTTAGAGAAAAGGTTTTTACAATTCACTCTATTACACAAAAATGCCCATCATTCATCTGGCAACAACTTAACATTACTTAAATGTAAATTTGCAGAAGAGTATTATATATTAGTGGTCTAATCATACAGAAGCAGATTTATAAAAACTTTTATAACTTGTTGTGCAAAAACAACTCATAAAAAGTCATTTGTTCATGTAACAGTCACCTGTTCATGTAACAGTCATTTGTTCATGTAACAGTCATTTGTTCATGTAACAGTCACCTGTTCATGTAACAGTCATTTGTTCATGTAACAGTCACCTGTTCATGTAACAGTCATTTGTTCATGTAACAGTCACTTGTTTATGTAATAAACACTTGTTCATGTAATAATCAATGTCCACCATGTAATAGTCACTTGTCCATGTAACAGTCATTTGTTCATGTAACAGTCATTTGTTCATGTAACAGTCACCTGTTCATGTAACAGTCATTTGTCCATGTAACAGTCACCTGTTCATGTAACAGTCATTTGTTCATGTAACAGTCACCTGTTCATGTAACAGTCATTCGTTCATGTAACAGTCACCTGTTCATGTAACAGTCATTTGTTCATGTAACAGTCATTTGTTCATGTAACAGTCATTTGTTCATGTAACAGTCATTTGTTCATGTAACAGTCACCTGTTCATGTAACAGTCATTTGTTCATGTAACAGTCATTTGTTCATGTAACAGTCACCTGTTCATGTAACAGTCATTTGTTCATGTAACAGTCACCTGTTCATGTAACAGTGATTTGTTCATGTAACAGTCACCTGTTCATGTAACAGTGATTTGTTCATGTAACAGTCACCTGTTCATGTAACAGTCACCTGTTCATGTAACAGTCATTTGTTCATGTAACAGTCATTTGTTCATGTAACAGTCACCTGTTCATGTAACAGTCATTTGTTCATGTAACAGTCACCTGTTCATGTAACAGTGATTTGTTCATGTAACAGTCACCTGTTCATGTAACAGTGATTTGTTCATGTAACAGTCACCTGTTCATGTAACAGTCACCTGTTCATGTAACAGTCACCTGTTCATGTAACAGTCATTTGTTCATGTAACAGTCACTTGTTTATGTAATAAACACTTGTTCATGTAATAATCAATGTCCACCATGTAATAGTCACTTGTCCATGTAACCTGTAAGTAAAATATAACTAGTTTTTTGTTAACCCTTTCGTTACCAGACAAAATACAGTAAAACAATTGTAGGTGAAATGTTATCATTGATTAAAAAGCTATAAAATAAAAAATATTTGTCAGAATTTCACAAATGAGACCATGTTTTGTTTGTCAGAAAAACAGCAGCTAAATTATTTTTTTAAAAGTCTATCTTTTTTAAGCCCTGGCTAAGTAATTAAAGGCTGTTTTTAATGTGGTCACATTTACTAAAAAATATTATAACCCGTATAGCAGGTGACTGGTACTGAAAGGGTTAAATATAATAGAAAAAGTGGAAAAGTTAAGAAAAGTGGAAATAAAAAATAAAAACTTTATTAACACAAAATTAAAGATTAATTATTATTTTAATGATGAATTTAGAAAAAATCATATGAATTGAAAGTTATTTTAACATTTTTTTCAATGCTAAAAAAGTTAATGAGGTTAAAAAAATGTTTTTACCATTCAATAATTATGAAGGTAACATGTGTATTACTTCAAGTAAAAAAAAATGCTAACCAAAACTTGTTTCACAAATGTATTAATAAATATAATTTTCAACACTTAAACTTACCATTATGTTAAACAACAGAAAAAAAATTTACAGCTTTAAGATAATGTTTTTATGAATTCAATGACAAAGGGAAACTAAAAACTACCTCCATAACTACTACCAAAATAAGTACTTTTAACAAAATATTTTGTAGACTATAAAAAAATATATACTTGAATTGATTATTTACCTGATAATATGAAAAAAATCCACTCAGAATAACTGTCACAGTTAAAGCAATACCCAGGTATAGCTCATCTTTTGCTGGACTTTCCTCTCTTGTTGACCGTATAATATAAGCAAAAACACACAGAAGTGCACCTACCCATAACAACATGGCAAAACCTCCAAACATCTGTTTTAAAAATTTAACCCATTCAGATGTTTGTTTCTGAGGAGTTAAAGCATTTGGACCATCACGCTCCAAATTGCGAGCAGCAACTGAAGCGGTTAGCCCAGTATCAACATTAGTTTCTAGGGATTTTAGCAGTTCAGCCAATTCCATTTTATGTTCAAACTATAATAAAAATAAAAATGAAAAAAAAACTTTGTTTTAAATATAGTATTTTGTTTGTTTATCAAATGTTATAATCAAGACATCAGATTTAATTTTTTCTTTATTACCATTTCTAATTCTTTCTTCAAGTCATCCAAATTGATTTTTTGATTCTTTTTTTCATGTTTATTTTTAACAACATCCACACCTCCAGAATATGAGCCCTAAATTAAAACAAAAAAAAAATACTTAAAAAACTAATAACTAGTAAGATATCCAGATTTAAATTCAGATATAAATGAATACATTGATCAAAAGTCCATTGTCAGGCCCAATTTTTATTATGAGATTAAGATATAGCAAAACCAAAATGCTTAATGCTAATAACTTTTACACAGCTTTGGTAGTTACATCGTTAAAAATTAAACTGTGACATTAGCATAATTTAAAGTACCATGTAATTAAATTTAACTTTAAACCGTCTTAAAAATCATTTAAACAATAAAACACTAATTACTGATAGAATCTAAAATTGGTACTTTAAAAAGATTTCCTTTTAATTTATTTTTTAATTTAATTTCCTTATTCTTTGTTTTTTAAAACAAAGATAATCTTTTGTTTTTTCTTCATAACTTATCTTTTTTTTTTTTAACATATTTAATGTAATATTTTTAATAAAGATTGTAAACAATTTATAAATAGATTTTGGTTACCAATAAGATATCTGTAAACATAATTTAAGGTTCATAAATAAATTACATCAAATAAAATCAAATCAATATATTTTTTCTTTAAAAATAACTGTATATATATATATATATATATATATATATATATATATATATATATATATATATATATATATATATATATATATATATATATTTTATTTTAATTCACCTCCTCAAGGCCGAGAAGGCCACTACAGACAAGAAGGCTACTTATTTGTGGCTATAACCCTCTCTCAACTCTATAACTCAGAAACACGAACCTTGACGAACAAGGCCGCTGCGCGGAGAAAAGAGTTGAGCGCGGTACTACCAGGGACGTGGTGGGGATCGAACTCGGAACCACTGGTTTATGAAGCGAGCGCTCTACCACTACACCACTACCGCATAATACATACAACGATGTGTAAAGATCTATGATGATATAAATTATAGCATAATAACAATAACAATAACAATAATAATAATAACAATACAAATAGTAATAATAATATTAAATACAGTAATATAAAACAGTACAAGTTATATATATTTACTACTAAAGTTTGTCAAAACTTAAAATTTTAGAAAAATTATGTCAGAACTAAAACTGTCAGGTTGAAAGTAAATTATTCTTAATGATTTATTCTTAAGAATAAGTTAATTAAGAATAATTTACTTTATAATATAGGACAATTATAAGGTTTTTTTTCTAAATGAATGAATTTTGTCCCCATATCTGACAACCATAGCATAGATAGGAATTAAAAACAGCACGCCAAATATTCACAAGGGTTTCATAATTCACAAAATGCCTTATTGTGTTAAGCATTCTATTTGCTGGACTTTGTTTGTTTGAGTTGAGATAGGGTTGTAACCACAAAAAAAAAACTAGCCTCCTCGACTATAGTGGCCTTCTCGGCCTTGGGATGGTAAATAATTAAAAAAAAATATTACTAATAGTAAGACTTTGTGGACGATGGTTTAAATGACTTTAACCAGTTCAGAGCAATTCCCCCTACACGATAATGATATAGCTTTGATAATAGAATTTCATGGTTGACAGAACAAAATGCTTTTGCAAATTAACAAACACTCCACCAGCAAACTGTTTTTGATCCAAAGCCTTGCATATGGTTTCAGTTACAGCTATGAGTGCTTGGTTAATAGAGTGTTTCTTTCGGAATCCAAATTGAAGACTATATAAGCTATTTGATAGATTTAAAAAACTGAGTAATAGTTGCTGTCAAAATAATTTTACACCATACTGAATATTATGATATTAAACTAATACATTAGTGAAAAACAAAAACCTTAAAACTTTTATATTTTCACATATTTTAGTCTACGATAATTTATGTTTTATGTAATCAATTAAATTAGTTTGCAGATGACAAGAAAATTTTTAATAAATATTGTAAAACTATTTTACATTCCCTTGAAAATAAATTTAAATTTTTTAAATCATGATTAATTCCAAGGCTTTTAATTAAAAAAAAAAATTGATTTAAAATATTCAGTTTCTTTAACAAAAAAATTGACAGTTGTGGTTAAATGCTTTTTTTTTAATATTATCTGAATAAACATCACAAACAACAAAGCAACCACTATAAAAGTTGAAAGTTACTGGAAAAGAAAAGATGAAGTTTGTAGAGCAAGAGAATGATACCAGACGATTGCAAATTCTTTGAATCAGGAAAGCAAAATGAAGGAAACAAATTAAAGAGAACTGATATTCAAGGAAAAAAACTAGACGAATAAGAGTTTTTGGAGCACTTAGGAAGAGTCACAAAAAAAGGATGAGACTTAATTGAATAACGAGTAACATGAGAATGAATTTTAGTAGATGGCACAACAGACACTTTAGACCAGTACCCATTTTAGTATTTGTAGAAAATTAAAAAAGAAGCAACGTTACAACGATAATGGTCAGAGGTTAGCTGCAAGAACAGGTCCTACTATATTTCGAATGCGTTTTTGCACCTTATCTAAAAGGGAAAAAGCATCATTAGAAAATCTGCCCCAGATATGGCAACAGTATTCTATACAAAGACGAATTTCAGATTTATAGAGATAAAGAATAGAATCGTAGTAAAAAAGTGTTGAGCATGATAAAGAAATGCAACCTTAGCAGATGTTAATTTTGCAATGGATTTGATATAGTTTACAAGAAAGATCAGAAGTATGAGTTAATCCTAGAAGATGAAGGGTAGATGACTTAATCCTAGAAGATGAAGGGTAGATGAATCAAAATTTCAATGAAATTTCAAGAATCAAAATTTCAATGAAATTTCAAGAATCAAAATTTCAATGAAATTTTAAGAATCAAAATTTCAATGAAATTTTAAGAATCAAAATTTCAATGAAATTTTAAGAATCAAAATTTCAATGAAATTTTAAGAATCAAAATTTCAATGAAATTTTAAGAATCAAAATTTCAATGAAATTTTAAGAATCAAAATTTCAATGAAATTTTAAGAAATTTTGAAATTCAGCAAGCTGCATTTTGTAATGCAACCACTATATTTGGAACCACTATACTTCTTACTGGACCATGGATGGCAAAGTTTTTATTTATGTATCAGCTAAGAATGCAAGCTTTGATCATATTAATGGTATTCAGGTTAAATAATTTTTGAAAATGACCAATTGAAAATCTAATCTGACTGCATTGTTTAGCACAAAGACAGATAGGGAAACTCCTTCTCCATCATACTTTAAAATCTATTACAACTTTATGTTCTGTTGATAATCAGCTCATCAAAATAACATCTGCTTGTCTTAATGTAGTAATTCATGTCTTGATTCAATAATATAAAATAGATTTCATCAGGCATCAGCAGGAGTAGATAAGTGCACAAGCGGTGAAATGCCTGTTATAAACAGATTTGGCGGCAATGCGAGCCACTCACTTTGAAGTGCTTGCTTGGGCATTCAGCTGATATTTTGGCTTTGATAGGCGACAGGTCAGTACTTGTTGATGCAAGGGCTAAAATCTCAGGCTTTGCCAAATAAGCTTCTAAGGCACAAACCTTTTATGGAGTCGATGCTTTTTTTCCAAATTTGAATTGGTAGCCAGAGCTTTACAAAGCCCATCACTGAGTGCATTAGCCACTGAAAAATGTGTTCAACTCCTTCTGGCTCAACTTCAAGACTTGCGTATTGATGAATTTGCTTCAGAATTACACAGGAAGGCCATCTAGAAAGCTACCACATTGAATCTCGAGCTGCCTAAGGCACAGCATAGTTCCACAGTTAATGCTCCTGCTCGTTTCTCGCATGGAGCTCAAAGCCGTGATGTAGAACAATTAATTACAGATATTATCTGATAGAAAAGTCTCTTCGAAGATATTGACCACTCAGTTGCAGAACTGCAGTGCCGTTTTAACCAAGAAGGATTGCATAAAATTGCAAGCACAGATATTTTGATAGGTTCATGCACATCCACAAGTAATGCAACCACACTAGCCAGCATGCCACTGAAAGGTTTGCCAAATAATGTCGATGTTCCTATGTTGCAGTTACAGCTGCAACTGCTTCCACAGTTGTTTAAGGACAAGTCACTGCCTAAAGATTTACACCAGCTAGCAGCAGCTTTAAAAGACCTTGAACCAAGTACCCACAGATTATTTGACATAGTGGAACAGGTAGCTGTGTTGTGTTTATCTGTTCCAATATCCGTAGCTGGTTCTGAAAGGTCCTTCAGTGCATTGAGACAGCTTAATATTTTTTTGGGGCTGCAAGGCTGCAAGCAACCACTATTAAGTTGGGAGTTACTAGGGAAAAAAAGAACAGAGTTATAGAGCAAGAAAACGGTTGACAGAAGACTTGAAAAGTTGAAGGTTGTATGAGTCAGGAAAACATGAAGATGGGAGAGAGTTCCAAAGGATTGAAGTGCGGCGAAAAAAACTAGATGAATAAAAGTTTTTAGAGCATGCAGAGACAGATACAGTAAATGAATGAGACATAGTTGAATGACAAGTAAAACGAGAATTAATTTTAGTTGATGGAACTAGAGATGATAACTCCTTTGAGCAGTGACCATGATAGTATTTGTAGAAAAGAGAAAGAGATGCAACTTTACGACAATGGGAAAGAGGCTCAAGCTTAGCAGATAGTCCAGGTCCTACAACATTTACAATGCGTTTTTGGACCTTGTCAAGAAGAGAAAGTGAATCATTAGAAGAACCAGCTTAAATATGACAACATTATTCCATACAGGGACAAATAAGAGATTTGTAGAGGTAGAGAATGGAATCAGAAGTAAGGAAATGGCCAGCACGATAAAGAGAAGCAACCTTAGCAGAAGCTAATTTTAGCAGAAGCGATAATCCAAGAAGACATAAAGAGGAGGATTCAGTAAGAGGATTGCCATTCATTTAAATAGGAATGTTGACCATATTATGGTAGTTGATTGCAGTAAATAACTGGGTTTTGTTAGAGTTGAAATTCACAAGCCACTGTGAACCCCAATCTATTACTGAAGTGAGATCGGATTCAAGATCAGCTGCTTGTTCTAGGCGATCGAAAAGAGAAGACTTTTTGTCAAGACAGGAGTATAAAGTTGAGTCATCAGCAAAAAGAGCTACTTTAGATGAAAGGCTGTCGGGAAGATCGTTTATGTAGATAAGAAACAAAACAGGGCCCAGGATGGAACCTTAGGGAACCCCAGAAGTTACTGGAAATAAAGAAGAGTGTTGGCCTTCAAGGATGACTTTAATAAACCGGTTAGAAAGAAATGATTTGATAATCTCAAAAACTTTCCCAGAAACACCATATGAAGCAAGCTTATGGAGAAGAACAGCATGCCAAACTTTGTCGAAAGCTTTAGATATGTCGAGAGCAATAGCCCTAGCCTCACCGCCTCCATCTAATGCACGATAAAATCTTTCAGTTACAGCAGTTAGCAAATCGGCTGTCAAGCCAAAGGATCGAAAACCGTATTGATTGTCTGACAGTAGTTTATTTGACTCAAGATAAGATGTGAGGAATTTGTCGATCAAAGACTCAAAGACCTTGCTAATAACAGAAAGAAGACTGATCGGACGATAATTGGAGAGTTTTTGAATATTGGAACCACAGATGCCATTTTCCAACAAGCAGGAAAACAAGACTCAGTCAAACACTTGTTAAATAGTTTAGAGAGAATTGAAGAAAGTTCTGGAGAACAATTCTGCAAGACTGTGACAGGAATATTGTCTGAACCACAAGCTGTAGACGAGTTTAATTGAGATATGACTTTAGCAACAGAAGCCGGAGTGATTTGAATGTCTAACAATGGGTCAACCTGTTTGACTGGAATGGAAGGAAGAGAATGTCCATAAGATTCAAGAGTGGAATTAGAAGAAAAGTTCTTTGCAAATAGTTCTGCCTTATCCTTGGGAGAGGTAATAAGATCAGTCCCATGAATAAGAGATGGAATGTTAGATCTACCTTGTTAATAATACTGTTGAAGATTTTCCAAAAGTTTTTAGAGCCTAACTTCTGTGATAAGATGCGAGATTTAGTGAACTGAGAATAATGGAGTTTAACATCAGAAAGTACCTTTTTACATCGATTTCTTGCAATAATAAATAACCGTTTGTTCTCAAGAGAGTTGTTCTTTTGAAATAGATAAAAAAAAATGATTACGATTGGATATAGCAGCCGTACAAGAAGGAGAAAACCATGGAGTAAAATGAGGCTTGACTTGAAACCGACGAGAAGGAATAAAAGCTTCCATTCCAGCCTGAATCCAGGAGGTTACATAGGAGGCGCATTTATCAGCTGAGAGAGAAAAAACATCAGCCCAGGACCATCACGAAGAAAATCATGAAAAGAATCCCAGTCAGCTTTAGGGTAGTAGTAGGTGGTACAATGATAAGGTGAGCCCAAAAAAGAAGTATGAGAAGAAAGATTTATAGAGATCATTGCATGGTCAGAACCACCTAAGGGAGAAAAGGGAGAAAAACTTGGCTGCAGTCAACAAAGTCACAGAGTTGCCTCACTCACCTCGCTTTAATGCACATTAACAAAGATTACCTAGACAAGGTTGACATTACAGCACTAATGGAGGAGTTTGTGGCTAAAACCCGTGAACTTTCATCCGTATTTAGGCATTTTTATAGTAACTGTAATTGTTTTTGGTAGATTTTGTTTTGTACCAAATATTTAAATATAATGATTTAAAAAGGATTGCAAATCTGCATTTAGCAGGGTTAATTATGCCTTAAAAAAGTTCAGTGGGAAAATACCCCCCCAAATACCCCATTCAGGGAGGGGTACCCCTCCCCAAGCCCCACCCATTTCTGCCCTTTCCCCCAGTCTTTAAATACTTCCAGCACTTATGATGTGAGGCTTCACAATATAGATAGTGATAATTAAATAAGGCTAAAAAATTTGTTATATAGGGTAGAGCGGGGTAATAAGATCAGCGGGGCAATAGGATCTTTTTTAGCAGCGCCAAAACTAAATTTTTCTTATGCTACTGTGGAAATAACAAATTACTAAGTTTTACATGATATATGCTTACTTAGTACGTAAGAGAGTAGTCTAAAATATTTATTGAACTAACAACTAATTTTTTACCATTATTAATTTGATTTCAATATCGATGTTTTTTACGGCAGTTTTTTATTTTGTTTAAAGTTTATGAAAAACTTTGCCGAAATCGGTGCTCCTCAGTTTTTAATTAAAAAGTCTATACCTAAGTGTTTGTTTTTAAATTTCTTGAAAGTAAAGCAGAATCTAATTTTAGTAAGTACTATTATAAAGTTATACATTATATATAAGCAACATTTAGACATAAAAATAATAATTTAAATCTCATATTTATTTTAGTAAAAATCATCGAGTCATATAGCTGTTCAATGAAGGCTTAGACATTTTCAATTTATACCTTTAAAAATACCTTACACACAATTTTTTTTTATTTTACTAGTAAAGGTAAGACTTATTTGAGATGCTTGTTGCAAAAAAATTTATTTATTTGTTTACTTAAAGCATAAAATTTTTATTTTAAAACAAGTAGGTCATAATGCCCTCCCTGACTAGTAAAGAATGGCAAAACCCTTTAATAAATTTAAATCAGCTATAAATTTCATAATATATAGTTTAAAAAGTATGAAAAAAATTGCAAACAACTTTTTAATGTAAAAAAAATAATTTTAAATGTATTTTTGAAAATTATTATTGTTTTTTTTTTTAAGAATGGTTCGAACATACAAAAAGTTGAAGCAGGGAGGAAAGAAATCCTACTTAAATAGTCAGGAAATGATAGATGCCTGCAGTTGTTTTGAATAAAGAAATGTCGATAAACCAAGCATCAAAACATTTTAGGTGTGATAGGAGAGCTCTTTCGAAAAGAGTGAAAGGTGAACTATCTGTTGACTTTCACCCAGGACGCAAAACAGTTTTAACTTCACAGCAAGAAAAAGAGCTGTCAGATTGCCTAATTTTAATGGCTGATTGGGGATGGGGTTTCACTAGAGGTGAAGTAAAAGATTTAATACAAGATTTTCTCAGAACAAACAGTATTGAAACACCATTTATAGATTCTCGACCAAGTAAAGACTGGTTGCATGCCTTCTTGCAAAGAAATCCCAAAATTACTCCAAGAAAAACTGAACACTTAAGTAATTCAAGAAGCCATGCTGAAAATCCTGAAACTATCAAAACTTGGTTCAATTTAGTAGAAAAAACATTTAAAAAAGCAGGAATTATTAATCTTCCTAATCAAATCTTTAATTCTGATGAATCAGGGTTTGTCACAGACCCAAAGGAGCAAATCGTATTAGCAAAACGAGGTGCTTCTCGAGTGTCGCAGAGCATTGGTGGATCAGACAGGGAGCAGATTACTGTAAATTGTGCATGCTCTGCTAGTGGACAGGTATTGCCACCATATGTTATATACAAAGGAAAAAATTTGTATATGGACTGGGTTAAAGGTGGTCCTGATGGAACTGTTTATACTACCAATAGTAAGGGCTGGATGGACTGCCCCCATTTTTAAGAATGGTTTCTAAACATATTTTTAATTTATACAAAGCATCTTGCAAACCGCCCACGTGTACTTATATTCGATGGCCATATTTCTCATGTTAGCTCCCCACTTATTGATTCGGCAAAAAAAAATGTTATTCTCCTACGCATTCCTGCACATCTTACCCATCTTCTTCAACCTTTAGACACATCAGTTTTTCGACCTGTAAAAAGTAAATGGCAAAGTTTGCTTATAAATATGCAAGAACACATAATGGACCAGTGTCGAAAAAACATTTTCCAGGGCTACTACGTTCCCTTTTTCAGAGTTCCTTTACTATGGAACAAGTCAAAAGTGGTTTTAAGGGAACTGGCATTTTCCCTTTTAACAAAGATACTATTGACACACGCCTATTTAATCGGTGTTTTATGTTACCAGAAAAAAAAAACTACATTCTCAACTAATCATCTTAAAAGATCATGCTCAATGCCTAACCTTCATAGCATTTGTGTTAACGATGCTCCCATTTCAACATCAGTATCATCTGCTTCATCATTACCGATTTCTACGTCGACTTCCTCTATCAAAGATTTTTTTCTTAAACAATTACAATCCAAATGTGTAGAAACCTCTAATCGTTTGAGGTCTGCACGAGTTTTAAGATTTCGCTATGGTGAAAGTTTAACATCAGAAGCATGTTTAAAACGAACAAGAGAAGAAGCTTCAAAAAATCAACAAAAAAAAAATACAAAAGAAAAAAAGTCAAAAAAAAAAAAAAAGACAGATAAAAATGATTTCGATTATGATGAGAGCAACAACACTCTATGCCCTAATTGTGGTGGATGTGGAAATATAGGTGATCAGTGGGTGTGCTGTGATGTTTGTGACATCTGGTATCATTTAAAATGTACTACGATAACTAAATTAGATAATGTTAAAGTCATGGAGTGGAAGTGTAGCAATTGCTCTAAGCCTTTGTAAAAATATAAATTTAAAAATTATTGTTTTTAATTGACCCCTTTTTACTTGTTTTTTTTTTTCACAGTTTTATAATATTTTTAAATTCATCAAAGGTTTTTCATTTAATTTATTTATATAAATAATGTTTCAGTATTCTAAAAATATAATCAAGTAAAATATAATAACCTCCTCCCCCCCCCCCCCCCAAAAAAAAGAAGGGATTATCTAGTTCACAGGCTTAAGTTATCACAATATTATACATATTGAACATAAAGATAAATAATAGAACATAGAGATAAATAAAAAGTTAAAAGAATAAATAACTATTTAATTATTTTAAGGAAAGACATGCAAAACACAAGATATTAGTCTCAATAAGTTTACATACTTTGATACTGATGAAATAAAAAGCAAATTATGTTTATTTAATTAATTTTTTACTCTAAAGTTTACTATATTATTTCAAATATTTTTTCCTATAGATTTTATAAAGTAACACTGTTTTTGTTATTAATAAAAAAATAAAGCTACTAAAGAGATACAGACCATGTAGTAATGAGGGAGGGGGAAGCTTTGATTTTTTAATTTTAATGATTTGGTGGATCCTGACCATTTATTAAGAAAGAAGGGGGGGGGGGGGGAGGGCAATTTTCAAGTTTGATGATTTTCAAGCAGTCCATAATTTACATTTAAAGTGCTGTGTTAAATATATAAATTTACAAAAAAATAAAATTCAAATGTATTAGGTAGGGAGGGGGGGGGGGGGGGGAATCCATAAAGGATTGATGCGATTTATGCGACCCATAGAGGGGGGTCGCCCCTTTCCCTCCTCTATGACACACCGATAATTGGGTTTGAAACTTATTTAGTTTGTTTATACAAAGTTAAATAGATTTAACTTTGTATAAACTATTAAGTCTATAAAGAATTATATCAATAGTCAAATTACAGTGTCTCTGTGCTGCTTATAATTTTTTGATTGGAATAATAATTTATAACTTCTTAAATACTCATTTTCAGACCACATTTCTTTTAAAAATATGAATCAGCATTGATTTATCTTTCCAAGGATATATGCAAAATTTATTAATTTTTTTTTTTTTTCTTCCTGAACAAATATAACCCTTTTATGTAGGCCCAAAAGTACATCTTTTGGAGCTACAACAGTTGATTTTTTTTTTTTTTGGTGAATTATCATACATTTATGTTTACTAGAACAAAGTTTTACCTTTATATTTTTTTATTCTTGGTCAAAATTCTACTGTACCGTATTTTACTGTACCGCTTGAAAGGTTCTGTATTAAGTGAACATAGAAGTGGTAAATGGGTGTGTTATGACTTATTTGACATTTTATATAATGTTGAAGGCACTTGAATTACAAAAAGGGACAATATTTAAGTTATCAAATAAAATTTTTACAATTGCGCTAAGTCTTGATAAAAATATATACATTCAATATACTTGGTCTTATTGCCCCGCCTTTTTTTTTTTTGCAATTTGTTTTTTTAACTTTTTACCAGTCTTGGCACTAACAAAACTTTTTTTTTTCCGATCAAAATGCTATGCCTCGTATACAAATATGTTGTCTGTCATTATGAAAAAAAAATTTTTGAATTTCATAATATTCATTTATTTCCATAGAAAAATCTGAAAGTATATGAAAAAAGTGGTCTTAATGCCCTCCTTTGCCCTACAAGTAAATTAATATCCAAAAAGAATAGAACTCTAGATTGTTTAGATAATCTTAAAGACTTGTATAGAAAAAAACAGTTAAATGGTCTATTTATATAGCACATAAAAAAAAGATTGAGAAAATGACTAAAATAGAATAATTGCATATCTGTCTGTTAGTAATCTCTGAATGATTGCATATCTGTCTGTTAGTAATCTCTGCCTAAATATCATTCTATTTTAGTTGTGTTCTCATTCTTTTTTTATGTGGTTTGTAAATAGGCTATTAATTTTCTTTATACAAATTTTAAAGATTTTTTATTTTTATACAAATTTTTTTATACATATTTTTTATACAAATTTTTATACTTTATACAAATTTTCTAGACATCTTATGTCTGATGTAACTGTTGGCAGAAAACTTATCATAAATGGTATGATATTGACTACTCAAAGTCTATTAATTATGGTGTGAGAGTAGAAAAAGTAATCAAGAGACAAAAAGTCAGATTTTAAACTATTTCTTACTAATATTAAAGCTGTTGAAGATAAGATTTAAAAAAAACTCAGCTAACTGCTGATGTTGTACTAGGAGAATTAATATTTTCTTAATTTGATTGTAATACTTTTGTATTACAAGAATATCTACCAGAAGTTTTTTGCATCTTGTAATGTGGAAAACTAATTTTTTATATTAGTTTCTATCTTTTTAAATAATCACATGTTAACATTTTTTTTTGCAAACTAATTATTTTTTTTATATATTATATGTAATTATTTTAATAAAGATTAAAAATATTTACAGGAATGAAACATTTTAAAACTAGGGTGTGATATACTATCACCACTACACTCAACTCTTGTAAGTTATAAGAACCTTTTTGTGTATAAATGATATTAATTTTATGAAAAAAAAACTTATAAATATAATTTCATTTTTTTTATAAATATAATTTTATTTTCATTCAATTTTTTTGAGGTAAACATTGACCTTCCTGTCCTAAATCTAGAGAATAATATGATTTTTTTGTCCATTCTTACACCTATCTTTTAATACCAAGTTATAGGCATTTATATAAGAATTGATAAAATGTTATCAAAACTTTTTGCAAAATTTTGACAACTTTTCACATTTAATATACTGTATTGAAGGGGTTTCCAGTAATATATAACATTCTAGTATTTAATCTATTAAAAAAATTGTTATGTTCTTATAATAATAATAACAACAACAACAACAACAACAACAACAACAACAACAACAACAACAACAACAACAAAAACAAATAATAACAACAACAACAACAGATAATAATAATAATAATAATAATAATAATAATAATAATAATAATAATAATAATAATAATAATAGCAATAATAATAATAATAATAATAATAATAATAATAATAATAATAATAATAATAATAATAATAATAACAAAACTTAAATAATAATGATAATAATGATAATATATAAACTTAATAAAACAAAATCTATTATTTTTAGACGGTTTATATATTATACATTAACCGTTTTAAATGATCAAGTAATATGATTTAGTATTGTTTAAGAAATCAATGTAATAATAGATTTGTACTTTGATAACAAGAAAGTATATAAGAGATTTGTAATTTGAAACCAATTTAATAAAAATTCCATGCAAAACAAACTTACCGTTTTTGTTTCAACAGAGTCTGCCATTTCAGAAAATAAAGTATACTTTAATTTTTAATAAGTTTCTTTTCTTTTTTACTGGATTCTCCAACAATATAAATGTACTTTTCAACTTAATTTTTTATATATGGAATCGTTAAAATGACTTTTATATTGTGTGATAAAATAGGAGGCGTGACTTCATTGGTATAGCATTCTGGGAGAAAACTGGTTTATAAAATTAACAAATCTAAAAGCTTGTTTGACGTATTTAACACTTGAAAAACATGAAAGCAGACAAAGCATACTTTCCAATCTATAATATTTCATTTTAATTTTATCTGTGAAATTTTAACTTTGATTAAATAATAAATACTTTCGATCTTATTTGTTAAATTAAATTTGTTACTTTTTTGTTTTTGAAACAAATTTCTAAGGTTGTAACATTTATTTATTTTTTACTTTTTTTTTTATTTGTTAATAAATTTTTTTTTTCTGAAAAGGTAATCGTTTTAATTAAAATTACCAACAATAACAAAAAACTAAGCAAAAGTTCTCACCCTCAGTGGATAATTATTATAGTGACGGCGCGCTGTGAAAGTTCAATGAAAATTCGAACAAAGCGAACTTTTTTATCTCCGCGGGAACTGTTTTGATTCTGCGCTGAAAATATTTTTCACGTTATTCGCAATCACTTGTTATTAATTAACCTACTAAGAAGATTACTGCCGTTTAAAATGATTTAAAGTTTACTACCGTTTAAAATGATTGCTATTGTTTGTAAAAGTTTATTATTTTATAGCATTAAATAATAAAAATAGCGTAATAAAAAATCTTCTAGCAAAGACAAAAAAAATAAAAATTTTTATTACTGTAATTTATTATCTAAATAATATATTATCACAAATAATCAGTTATTTCACAAATAGTTTATTAGTCAAGATAATTAAACTTGCTATCAAAGTTTGAAACGAAGTCCTTACGGTCTTATCTCAGAGCACCGCAGAATATCATTTAACCAAGAAGTTCACGCCTCCTTCCTATACTAATTTTGCATATTTTGTCAACGACAAAAATGGGGCAAGATGATAAGACTATTGTCTTCTACTTGCTCCAGTCATATATTTCACGGTAAAATGTTGTACAAATTTATATTAATAATGACGAATATATAAAAACTATATATATAACAGTCGGCATGTGTCGTCCAGGGGACATTGGTAGAACGTCTTTCGGACGTCCGTAAGATATCCGACGGACGTTCCCCGAACGACGCGTGCCTACTAGGATGGCCACAGTGGACTTCAAACCACAGACCTCCTGTACTGAAGCCAGAACAAATACTACTCCACTTCTGCCGCTATAACCAAAAATTTTATCAATGCTAGAAACCATAATTTTTATCAATGGTTAGGGTGAGGTAAATAAATAAAAGTACAAATAGTGCGCTGCTTTTATGCTTTTATATAAAGTTAAAAATGACTTAAAGTAGAATAAACGACTAATTAAAAATAGCGAAATTTTTTAACTTAAAACCACTACTTTGGATTTAAGTAAATGCGGAGTTTACATTTAATAGCAAAGGTATTTTAAACATACATAAAATACCTAGTTTGTCGAGAACTAAGAATATAAAGTAAGATAAACTTGAGAATAAAATATATTTTGACAATATTTTTCATACAGTAATTATTTGGTATGTGTTTTTAGTAGCATTCAAGGTTGTGAAGTGATGAAGTTTTGTTTTAAAGCTAAATATATAAAATACCAAACTTTTTTGTCAAATTTTTATAATAGACTTGCGAAAGTTAGACAGCGGGAGTATACAAAGAGCGCATACTTTTAACAAAATTTAAAATTGAAGGTTTATCAAGTCGGTTGGAAATTGGCAAAGATTGAAATGTTAGTTATTATAATATAATCTAAAATCTGTCTTGTGGTTTGACTTTCAAACTTTAGAGACGGCTGGAAAGTGATTATGACGTCATATTTTTTAAAACAGCTATTTGTTACAACGCATATTAGCGCTAATACTAAGTCACGAATATAGCTCGTGTATTAATTTGCTCAAATTAGTACACGAGCAATACTCGTGACTTAGTCACGAGTTAAATTTATGGCTTTGTCGCGCGTAATACTCTGATTTATTTGTAAAAAATGATTGTTTTACGCACGTTTTAAAAAATGACTGTTTTAACTGTTTTACGTCAAAAATATTTTTAGGTGATTTTTTTATGTTTGTCCATTTTTCTTCAAGAACGGTAAAATGAAGGAAAAAAGTAATCACGTGAGTGTAGGTAAAAATTGAAATTTAAACAAAGCTATTTCTCGTTCCCGTAGAATAATGAACAAGTGGAAAGTTACCTTTACAAAAAAAAAAGGGAAATTATTAGGTCAGGTCTTATAAACAAGTTAGTAAATAATAATTTAAAAAACTCGTTTCAAGTTTGGTTTTGAAGTATGTAACAATAACAGTTTGTTATTGTATTACTTTAGAGGGAGGTTGCATAAGATAAGCAGGTTCTAAAGATAGTATAACCTCTTTTACGGGTAGACTACTAATTTTTTTATAAAATATTTTGGAATTATGTTCATACAAGCAGGCTTGTGGAGCCGACTGTTTTTTTTACGGCTCGGCTCCGGCTCCGGCTCCTAAGAAATATCTGGCTCCAGCTCTGCTCCGGCTTCCGAACTTTATGAACAAAAATCGCAAGTTTTGAAAATTTTTTTGATCACGTTTGTCAACCCATTACTATACCAACTAAAGCAATTAATTTTTAACCAACATTCATGATTACAGTAGTGGCCATTGAATTAAAGCACCCAGCAGAATTGCAGTTTTAATTATGCAAGTCCAGTTTCTCTTTCATGAAATCATATTATATGTACTTTTAGTATTATAAAATGTTCTAAAACATATCTAGCAGCATTATTTTTAAAATTCATCAACAAAAAGTCTAAAAAACTTAGTATTTCGTAGGTTAACCACAATTTTTCAATACAGCCTGTATACGAGAAGGCATTTTTTACAAGCATGTCACAGTACTCACAGTGTCACAGTAGGGGTAATTTTATTTACCCACACCTGCTTTAATACATCTTTTAAATGTTTCTCTGACATTGGACGATGAGCTGACACTTTAGCTTTTATTTTTATTTAATTTTCAATAACGTTCAAATCAGGCGAATTTGAGGGCCAGCTCTTCAAAAGGTGCACATCGTTGTCATGAAACCACTTCTTGAATGATTTCGCAGTATGACACGGTGCTGAGTCTTGTTGAAAGATGGTAGTTTCAGAAATGTTTAAATGTGTCTTTACCTTTGACTCTAAAACCTTTATATACTTTGCAGCATTGACCTTTTCACCCTTAACGAAGATGTGGCTTCTGCATCTACCCTTAGCTGAGCTCCCCACACCATAACAGATGGCGGATGTTTAACGGTCTTCAGAATGTATTTAGGGTCGAGTTTTTCACTTATCGGTTGACGAACATAATTGTACCCTAAACCACGAAGCTGATGGAAAGTACTTTTGTCAGTAAACATAACAGTAGTCCACCACTCAGCAATTTTGTCCTTCATAATACGACAGAATTTCACACGTGCCTGAAGATGCTTCTTGGTGTCAAATGGCTTCTTTGCTGGCGCGCATGCAGTTTAAATTCTGTAGACAGACGTCTGCGAACACTTCTGGCACCATTATTAATGCCTATTTCCTTGGCCAATTGGGTAACTCGGGCATAGAAAGTATAAGGACTGGCTTGCACAATACTTTTCAGGTATCAATCATCACGGGGTGTAGTTTTGCGAACGCCATGGTAATTTTGACGTCTAGAACTCCCATGCAATTTTATAACGTTTTGTACAGCCATCTCAATATTTTAGACGTTTACTAATGACAACTTGTGAGTACCCTTCACTATGCAAATTTATGACTTGATCTTTAACAAAATCACTCAAATCTGTCTTTTTACCCATATTTACTTTATTTAATTTTTTTACTATTTACTTTAAATAAAGAACTTTAATTAGCTTTGATGACGTCTTTTAAACAAAGATATGCGAAAATTTTTAATTTGATTCAATTAATGACATTGACATATAATACTTTGCATATTTAAGAGGCACATTCAAAGTTATACTAAATTTATCCAAAAACCGTAAGGTGCCTTAATTCAATGGCCATTACTGTACAAGGTTATTGTATTACTATCACTTCTCTACTCAACTACCGGCTATTACCTTTAAAAAGAAAAATGTTTGGGTAAACAAACACTTTTTTCTATACATTATTTACAAAAAACTAGGGTTTTTAGTCGGAATTTTTATTCTAATCATACCCAAGGGGCACGACCTAAAAGAGACGTCTTTTGAACGTCCCAGAGACTTCCAAAACGTTCAAAAGACATCCAAAACTTTCAAAAAACGTTTAAAAGACCTCTTTTGTATGTCCTGTGCCCACTGGGTAAAACATGAAATTGTTAAATTCAAAATGATAAAAAATTAAAAAAAAAAAACAATAAATAGTTCATCTAATGTAAAAACTTCAATATTTATTTTAATCTAAGGAACTTGAAGATTTAAAAGTGCTTTTTATTTTAATATTTTTCATTATTTCGAATATCGAACATTTACGCTAATTGACGACATCAGCTTCTGCACAGAGTCTTTTACAATTTTTTTCCCTACTAATGTTTATTCTCTAATCAAGTCTTTAGCTGTACTTATTGTTTTGACACTCTTTCGCAAATATCCTTTGCTAATTCTCCAAAATTTCTCAATAGGACGGAACTTTGTGCAGATTAATGAATTCAAGCTTTTTGGTATGAATTTGATGTCTCTCGAATTGTGCCAATTTTCCTAAAATATTGGTAAGAAGCAAGATTAGGCCAGAACTAACAGGGGAAATAGTGATTTTGATAAAATTGCACAAGTCTAGCTTGCAAGTATTCTTTGATGTAAAGATCCGAGTTTAAAGTTGACGATGTGACAAAAGCTCGAGATCTCAAACCACAGCAGCATATTGCTTGTCAAAATTTAATCTTTAAAAAACTTTGAAACTTTATACCTTATGGCTAGTTCTTTGTTCGATAAGCCAGGGTTTTGATTGATGATCGTCGAATGCTAATTACTGCTTTCTTAATTAATACTATAATTACTAAAAGTAATTACCCAAAAAAAATACATTAAAAATGTGTTAGTGACAAGTTTTAAAACGAAATTCATCGTTTCAAGTTTAACGATCGCATGCTTTAATATAGTTTTAAAGATATTAAAAATAACCTTTGATCATT